TCTCATAAAGAGCGGGAACTCGTTGAGTCTGATCATTAGCATCTCTATCGTCAAAAACATTTTGTTGAAAGGTATCCATCTAAAAAAGGGGGAGAGATCAAATCAAACAATTTTCCTTAAATTTGAAATTAATCTCTTTATGAATCTATTAAATCTTCAGATTTGAAGATGGTCATTTAGAACAATCATCAAGTAGCTAAACCTTATACAGATTGATATCTATTGTGCTTTCTTTATGAGGTCGAAATCATTCTCATTGTCAATAATAAAAGTTCAAATCTGAAATTGATCTCTTTAAGAGATTTTTTGATGAATAATAATAAGTTTATTGATTCAGAAGCAACTTTAGAGTGAGTTCATACATCATCCCAACGAGAGGCACGAAATAATTCTTCCCTATTTACCCCTTGCTTAGCTAACACATCTGACAAAGTATTTGTTGATCTCCCTATCCATTGTACAGTGACCAACATATTCCTTGTCAACCAACTAGATTTCTTCATTTCATTCTTGTATCGCCACATAGCCTCTTCAGAATATTTTAACCAACCCACCACCACTTTGGAATCCCCCTCGATTATTAGGTGTTGTACCCCCAGCTGGTTTGCAAATTGCACCCCTTGTACAGCAGCTAAGAGTTCTGCCCTGATGGAGTTCCCAATTCCCAAGGGACCTGAGTAGAGCAACAAAATCTCTCCCTTCTCATTTCTCAAAGCCCCCCACTCCGGATAATCCTGGATTACCCATGCTGCTTCCATCAAAGTTCAACTTTATTGAGCCTTCGGGTTGAGGAGACCAGCTTGTAATTGATTTGTCCTTTAAAGATGAGCACCTTGCTAGATCGGATTGAACCAAATCCAGTCCAATTGACACCCCTAGAGGAAATAAATGAAGCTTTCTCTTGATAGCAATAAAAAAATTAAAAAAATATATAATACTAAACATGCTTTACTGTTTTTTTCTCCTCAAAAGAAGAGAAAAGATCTCTCTTTATTCGTCCACCACTTTAGAAAACAAAGAAAACTTTCTTTGTTTAATCATAGATTGTGAAGAGAAGACAAAAAAAATCTCTTGTTGAATATTGTCAACAGCTCCTTGACTTGAATATTAAAGAAGAGGTCTGTCTTTCTCTCTTGAACCATGTAGAGCTTGTGTAGTAAAAAATAGATGCCGGAATACAAGCCCATGCCTTTTTATAACCAAAAGCAGTTTTACAATCTTAATGTGATTAGGATTGTTCATTATAATTAACAACAAAGGTTAGGGCGTGCAGCCCACTTAATAGCTTTATAACAACTCATTTGTGGGCCTATTTTAAGTTTAAATAAGAATTTTTAAAATAACCCACTTATAATTTTTAGTTTGGCCCAACTGCACAGCCTTATGTGGCCCATTTAGTGGCTTCACAATAGGCCATACGTGGATCTTATAATAACTCGTGATAAAGCCCATTTAGGTACATTAAGTTTAAGCCCAAGCCTCCTGTAATACATTAAGAGGATGAGACCATTTCTAAAAGGGGGTTAAATGCAAAGAAAGTAAAAAACCTAAGCCCTCTTAAATACATTAAAAAGTTGGAATCACTTCTAAAAGGGAGTTAAATAAAAAGAAAAAATGTAATCCAAACTCTCTTAAACATATAAAAAGAAAATATAAGCCCAAAACCTTAATAAGCTTTCAAATTCTGCCCTTATACTATTTCCAATTCAAATTGACCATTAATACCCTTAAAGGCCCACCTGATGTTTAATTAAAATTATACATCAAATAAAACAAAGTAAAAAATAAAAATAAAAAAGGGAGTAAATCACATCCATCTATGGATGCTATATAAAAAGAAAAAAAGAGAGACAGACCGGAGGCACAATGGGGTCTTCGTAACTTAAGGTTTCCGATATAAGAATCCTATTCAGATTAAGACTCTTTTGTTCTAAGCAAAAAAAAAATAAAAACTAACTACATAATTATTTCAAAAAAAAAATCCTACTAAAGCTAGGATTCCTCCACAAATCCTACTTAAATCAGGACTCTTATTTTATGAACCTAAAAATAATCATCTTGGTCAAAAACAGCTCAAGATCAAGATTTAAGGATGTATCAAAGATAATTTGATAAAATCGAGGAGTCCTACTTCAACCAGGAATCTTCCAACTGTGAAAATCTGTGATTAACCCTCAAATACTCAAATCAAATCATACAATTAATAACATCAAGCATATTGAAATCGAGAGTCCTAGTTGCACTAGGACCTCTCAATTTACTAAGATGAGTAACCATAAAGCCTCATCAAATTGATCAAATAGTTAGATTATATCAGATTTCGTCTAACGAAAGATATTGCAAGAGTCCTGATCATACTAGGACTCTTCCAAGTTTGGCTCAAGGGGGCACTGTTTAAGGACAGGTTCCCCTCATCTAGGAGGAAGTAGTTACATAACTACCTCATACACTATTTAAGTTCCTTAAGGGGAAGCTAGGGGGGACTCTTCGGAGAAAATTGTCACAAGAAATTCTTAAGAAAAGCAAAGATAAGGAGAGAAGAAAAGAGAAGTGCTCAAGGGAAGGAAAGGAAGGAAAAGAAGTCTCACTAATACAGGTAGGAAAAGGAAAGTCCTCTCCGAGAATATTTCATATATATGTCTTCGGCTATGTATCCTTCTTTCTCTCTTATTTTCAGTTTTGAGAGAGGAAATAGAGGGAAATAAACCATGTACGACCAGGTACCTCTACTTGGTTGACTATGGTTCCTCTTCCAAGACAAAGCTTGGGATTAAACCATCTACAGTTTAAATCTCAAAGATTGATTATGGTTCCCTTCAAACGAAAATGAAGAATAGGGGAATAAAATCGCCTACAATCAAATATGCAATTTGATTGGCTACGGTTCCCTTCTTGTTTGCAAAATCCAAAGGGTTAAGGCTGTCTACAATCACAATTTCATTTGATTGACTTATTGTTAAGAAAGGAGTGAGAAGGAAATCTTCTTAGTATCAAAAAAAAGAGAGAAATTTATTGTTGTAAAGTTTAGTTTTCTTCTCATTCTTGTACACTTGATGTAAAAGAATTGTAAGTGAAATTTTCTTTTAAAGTACTCTATTGTTCCTCTCTTTTGTTCTGTGCATTCATTTCTCCAAGTCAGAATCAAAAGGTGTTCTCTACTTTCTTGTGGAGATGTAATTAAGGGGAACAATCCGTATGATTCCCTGAATAGGCTTTACCCAAAATAATAAAAACTCAATCACTTGATTGAGTGAATTATATTGATGAGAATTTATTAAAATTTTCACACTAGCAAGTGACAAGCGGATCGACCAAGAGGTAAGCACCCCTGTCCGTATGATTCCCTGAATAGGCTTTACCCAAAATAATAAAAACTCAATCACTTGATTGAGTGAATTATATTGCATGAGAATTTATTAAAATTTTCACACCAGCAAGTGACAAGCGGATCGACCAAGAGGTAAGCACCCCTGTCTCGTATGTTGGTCGATGGTCTGAACACAGGTCGAAGGAGGGACAGCGAAAGAAGCTTGGGGAAGAGGTAGAGTCTCCCGGCGGTCCCAAAAAAGGCCATTTGGGGAGTTAGGAGGGAATGAGAGAAAAGAAAAGGTAGAGCACAAAAAAAGAGAATTCTTGATTCTTCTCAAGGAGTGGAAGGAGTGGGAGAAAGGGCGGTAGGACGAGATGTTTGTTTGGAGGGGAAGAGAAGGAAAAACAGGAAGAGGGGGAGGTCAGAGGGGGGGATAGTCCTTGGATTTGTTTTTCAGGAGTGGGGAAGAATTTGCATGGAAGGGCTTCAAACATATTGAGAAAATTAGGAGGGAAGAAAAGAATAGAGAAAAAGAAAAGCGTGGTAAGGACAAGGAGTGGGACGGAGAGGGGGAAGAGGAGGAAGTGGGTGAGGACTAAAGGTGAGTTTTTCTTTTTATCTTTCGTTGTCTAGGAGGAATAGCAAACTGTGGGTAGTCAGCTGGAACATAAGGGGTCTGAGAGATAGGCAAAGAAGGATGACAGTGAAAAATTTAATAAGGAAAAATAGCCCCTTTATTGTGCTGCTCAGGAGACGAAACTGGAATTTTTTAGTCTGGGCCTGAAAGAGGAAACTTGGGGAATGAACAGTGTTGGGGATAATTTTTGGAATTTCTTGAGTTACAGACTTTTAAGCTCGACCAGTTCTGTATTTCTAGTTTTTCTGGTGTAGTGTAATCAACATGTTTAACCTCTAATCATTCTATCTGCCAAGGAGTTAAAAGTGTGCAACATTTTAACCCAATGGACCACCTTTACTGTGATGTTCTTAATAAATGCCTCTTTGGAATGAGTTAATTCCTTGAAAAATCATGCAATCCCTTCCTCCCAAACAGACCACAAATTGCAGCCTTTATACATCTCTAAAAAAATCCCCCCCCCCCTTTTATTGGTGGGAGAAGAAAGAGTCCTGAAACAAGCTGCTCCCATCTGCTGGAGGAACCCACCTATATCCAGAGGGCAAAAAAATGCTCCTAAATGCAACATGCAAGACACAAGGACAGGGCATTAGTAAATATTGCATAGTTTCACTATTTGTTTTACATATAACAAGCAAATGTGGGGAGAAGCACCGGTTAGGCCTCCTCCGTTGAAGGACCTCACAAATGTAAATCTCAAAAAAAAAAAAACTCCCAACAGGAGGTGCTAATCTTGGGTGGGATCGGTATGCTGGAAAGACCCTAGGGGAGGGAAGGAAGAAAAGGCATGGAAAAATGATGCACAAGGACTCTGATTACTAAAGAATCCAAATTATCATTTTATTAAATGATTCAACCCAAAGATATTGCACCAGGCACAAATGGACCATTGTTTTACATCCCATTCTTTCTCGGCAATCAAATAGACCATTATGGGACCAATAAAGAAAGTGGCATTAAGACTGACCTTTAAAACTGCTATAGTTATATGCACAGGCAGTGTAGAATGTAAGCATTTATCATATTGAATTGTAAATACACATAAGCACACACCACATATTCGTTGGGCAGATGTCAACGAGAACCAGTTTTCAGCTTGTTCAGTATCTGTCACTTCGTCCTCACTTTCCTAATGCATATAAAGGATATGAACAAATGTCAGTCCAAATTAAAATGGTTATTTAGTTAATAGCAAATACATATCTGATAGAGTGCACAACCTATTGGGTTAGAAATAAGAATTTTCTATCAAAAGCATAAACTAAGTACGAAGTTGTTAAAAATGTTCAATGAACAGGTAGATATAGAATATGAAATTGAAGCAAAAACTGAAGAAACTTTCCCTAGTTTTGTTAATTTTAAGTTGTGTATAGTGATATGCCCTTGAAATAATACAAAAAAAATAAGAAATAAATTGAAAACCTTAGCATATAATGGAGGATGTTTGTTCTAGTATTTAAGAGTTAAAAATAGAACAATAAAAGCAAAACAGTTATAATAGCTGGCTATGTTCTGTTACAAATAAGCCAGCTATTATTAAATTTCAATTATCAAAAAAAAATTATAGCTGGCTATGTTAAGAGCAAGTGTACATTTACTAATTAATTCAGTATTTGAGTGCAAGCATTTACATCTAAACCAAACATAAGCTTTGAAAGGTACTTTGATTTACAGAAATGCTAGTTCATCCATAAGCCATTAATACCATCATCAAACATTGACACTGGTGTAAATGCATGGGAGGGCAAATGGATAAGTGTGCATTCTGGATCATTTCTGCTTCAGGTTTGGCTTTGTTATGTTTGCTTCTGAAGAGTAAAATGGGAATAAAATGAGAAGAATGAAGGCAGGAGGAAGGCTGTTTCTTGGAAGGAGTAAAATACGAAGCAAAATGATGTGGTCAGCAATTTGTGAGTGATAAGGAAAATGCTATGGTCCTTACTTTATATGAGAAGAATGAAGGCAGGAGGAAGGCCGTTTCTTTGGAAGGAGTAAAATACAAAGCAAAATGATGTGGTCAGCAACTTGTTTGAGTGTAAGGAGGAAGGCAGTGCAAATTTTGCATCAGTTTTTGATATGTAAAATTTCACTCCTAATGAGTGCAAATTTAGCATCAAGAAGAGTGAAAATCATAGTTACAAACAAAAACATGCAATCTGAACCAGATGCAAGCAAACAAACAAACAGACACCAAGCAATCACAAATATGAAAATGCTACTAACTTTTACTATTTTGTATAGAATCTTTTGACTTAATTCATACTACAAACTCCATTTATATAAAAAAGAATTAATTCATACTACAAGCTCCATTTATCTTTAATATATCCATACAAATCTACAATTATTATAATTTCTATTATTTGTATAAAATAACAAACTAACTTGAACTATACTGAAAAACTATTATGTCTTGATGGGAACAATAGATCAACCATATCCTATATCATATCATAAACATCTGCATAATATCACTATTCTGCTATAATATCTGTGACTATCGACTATCATCCGTAGTTTTATAAATTGAAATTTCTTAAAATATGATATGCTCTTGAGAAAATTATAATGAATTTCAGAGCATGTAGATGAGCCATAGATACACCCAAAAAAGTCTTAAATGAATTCCACAAAATTGCCATATCATCAGTTTGTGGGTACCCATATCTTGACGGTATGATGTACAAAGATCATGAGTCGCCACTGTCCGGGTCATAACCAAGAGAGTTTTCTAAGCAAGAAACCAACATAAAAGGCTCAAGGCTCATAACTATCTGATCTATGGAGCGCATTTTCTGGAAATGTTTTGGATGCTAATAAAATTTCCCCACCATCCAATAGAACATATGAAAGCATATAATTGCGATCAGGTGATCACACTATTGGCAAAGAGAAGCACTTCAGTAAGAATGCGGGATCCATTCATTGGCACATCCTGATTCTATGAGACATGTCAAATATCAACAGTTGACATAAATATAATCGTATGACTGTCATGAAGAGTAATATTTCCTTTGCGACTTCCAACTTATCAGTTTTTTTATAAGAAATTTGTGTACCCCCAGTATTCCAGGAATTTATACTTTCCAGGTAAGCAAGGTCAATATGCATTGCCAACTATCTACGGCTGCTTAGGATAGTCTTTAATTATTAAAATCATTGGAACCCTAACCATAGTTTTTGTGACCCTAGTAAGAATAAGAAAACTTCATATACTGAAACTTTTTCAAAAGTAAAAATTTTATTAAAAGAAAGAAGAGGATGCACAAGAAGCATTTCTTGTGCTTCCTTTTCCAAAGCCCTTATATCTACTCTTCTTCTTTTCTGGTTCGAGAGATATGGTGCAATCCAGTGGTGGTGGTGGTGGGGTGGTTGAATGGAAGCAAAGGACCATGGAAGTACAGGAAAACTTCAAGAGAGACCCAACTACTAGTAAGAGAACTGGTGATTAGCATCAGCTGTGTAAAGAGGTCCACCAACAGCCTAGCTGATGCTCTTGCTAGGCAAGAATTCCAAAGAAACCTGCGGAAGGACTGGGCTGTGTAATGAGGAAGCCGGCAAGGTAGCTCGGGGCTTAAGGACTGGGCTGTGCCACCTTTCTTTGTACATAAACATATTATATACTGCTTGTACATAATCTATGTAAATCCTGTTATTAAGCAATAAAGTTTTATGTCAGTGATAAAAAAGCAGCAGCAGAAAATTGTCCATTAATGGGATAATTTATTAAACACACTAGAAAAATTGCATCATAAATTTTAATCAAGAAGATCCCTTTCTCAAACTACAGTTGGAATCCAACTTCAAGAGAAAATTTGCAAATAAATAGACAAAGAAAGGGATGACTATGATGAGTTACCGCTCACCTTGGAAGCCCCTTCGAGGGTGGCTTAACCTCCTGAAACAGAAGATGGAAGAGAGGGAATGGGAGGAAGATGATAACAGAGAGAGAGAGATAAAAAGGGATATTCATTCACGCCACTTATTATATGATCAGGGCCTTATATAGCTGGCCTACATGTATGCAATCATGAAGAGAATATCTTCTGGTGGCAGTGTAACTAACTCTGGAAGGCTCCGCTGCGTGGCATGCTAGTCTCTCTGTCTTCTAGTGAAATGCTGCTCAGTGGAGGTCTGCTCCACACCTATAGTTGGGTTCGAAGGAAGTGTTTGGGTACCAACACTTCCCCCTTAAAATTGACCTTGCCCTCAAGGTCTAGTTTTGGAAACCTCTATTCAGCCTAAGATAAGGTTCCCAAGTGGCATCATTTGGAGGAAGCCCAGCCCACTCTACCTTGGCTTCCGGCACAACCTGACCTCCTCGTCGAACCCAACGGAAATCTACAATTCTTACAGGCTCCGTATCATGCCCCATTCTGCAGTGAATTGGGGTAAGTTGGGTGAGACAGGGGTCTGATTTCCCACTGCAGGGCCCACTCTTTCCAGAACCTTATAAGCCCGTAATACCTGGGTGCCAACTTGTGCCAAGCCCATCTTACCACTGAGATCTGGCGGTAAGGTTGGAGCTTGAGGTAAACAAAGTCACCCACCTGAAATTTCAACGGGCGGTGGTGAGCGTCATAGTGGGCCTTCATTCGCTGCTAGGCCTTTGTCAAGTTGGACTTAAGCAATATAAGAATCTCGTCTCTTGCAATCAGATGGGTCTCCACTTCTGCCACATTCGATGACCCATATTCATAAGGTAATATGGGAGCAGGTTCGCTGCCATAAAGAGCCTTGAAGGGTGTTGTTAGAATGCTCGAGTCAGGGGTATTTTGGTCATTCTGGTGTATCTTATTGAAAGTGAAATGTCTATTGTATCTGAGTTTAAGTTATGTGTCCC